ACCCTTGGCACCCTAATGAAATATGTAAAAATTATCAAAAATGAAATTTATACAACAAGAAAAAAATATTGCCTGGGAGCACAGTTTTGGTCTACTATTGGCATGGAAAGAAAGACGGGATGGATCCTTCAGTTGGTCCATTCTGCATTCCGATGAAGAGAGCAGCCAACAGAGGACAGAAGATACGCACAGATGCTCCCCTCTTTCCAGCAGTGTTCAAGGTCAGACATTACCCTTCCTTCTCAGAGTCTCAAGACCCATTTTGATCATTGCTGATGCCTGTTGTTGGTGTATAAAATCATTGCACTACTTCATGGAACAGCTCTTTTACTTCCTGGGCTTGATGCCTGTCAGTTTCATCTTGCCTACTGAAATTACCCCCTTTGTAATAATGGGACAGAGTGTGTGTGTGTGTCTCAAAAATTTAGCTGAGTCATCTACAATTTTACCATGAGCCAAAAAAGACATGGTTCAACCACAAGAAGGTGGTGAACTTCACTCTTTTTGCTGGTGCTGAGAGCAGCCACCACGGGACTGAAATGTTTGTGGATGCGGGATTTGTGTGTAGCTCCCTTTTGATCCATTTTTTCTAGAACCTGAGGCTTGGACTCTTTTTGTTTCCAGACTTTGCTAGAAAGTTGAATTTGTTATATCTGATATCAAAGTCCTCTCATTTCAAAACAAGTGTGTTAATTCTGATATCCTTTTTAAAATATTTTCTTTATTGCAAAGTCAGATATACAGGGAGAAGGAGAGACAGAGAGGAAAATTTTCCATATGATGATTCACTCTCCAAGTGACCACAATGGCTGGTGCTGCACCAATCTGAAGCCAGGACCCAGGACGCCTCTCCCAGGTCTCCCATGCGGGTGCAGGGTCCCAAGGCTTTGGGCCATCCTCGACTGCTTTCCCAGGCCACAAGCAGGGAGCTGGAAGGGAAGTGGTGTCCATATGGGATCACAGCATGTGCAAGGTGAGGACTTCAGCCACTATGCCACTGTGCCAGGCCCAGTAATGATATCTTTTAAAAATATATAATTTGTTTTGGAAATACATATTGACAGAGAAAAGGAGAGACAGGGAAAGATCTTTTAACTGCTGATTCACTTCCCAAGTGGCCGTGATGGCAGGAGCCAAGTTGATCCAAAACCAGGAGCCAAAGCTTCCTCTAGGTCTCCCATGCGGGTACAGGATCCCAAGGCTTTGGGCCGTCCTCTGCTGCTTCCTAGGCCATAAGGGAACTGGAGGTAAAGTGACAGCTGGGAGGGACATGGACTAACACCCCATTGGATGCTGGTGCTGACAGGATAAGGATTAGCCAGTTGAGCCATCCTGCTGGTCCTAATTTTGACATCATTTATAAGAATCATTATTTTTCTTTCTAAATATGAGAGCTTTTCACAAATTCATGGAAAATGCATATTATAAAAAATGATGTCTGGATTTCAAAAACATTATAACAAAGTTAAATTAACCTTTTTTAATTAAAGACTTGTTTATTTTTATTGGAAAGTCAGATATACAGAGAGAAGGAGAGACAGAGAGGAATATCTTCTATCTGTTGATTCACTCTCCAAGTGGCCCGCAAAGGCTGGAGCTGAGCTGATCTGAAGCCAGGAGCCTCTTCCGGGTCTCCCACGCAGCTGCAGGGTCCCAAGGCTTTGGGCCGTCCTCGACTGATTTCCCAGGTCACAAGTAGAGGGCTGGATGCGAAGCCGGGATTAGAACCAGCGCCTCTATGGGATCCCAGGCACGCAAGGCATGGACTTTAGCCTCTAGGCTACCATGCTAGGCTAACCTTTAACTCCACTTTCTACAAACTTTTTCAGGTTTCCTTGTAATGCCTAACCACGTTTTTACTGAAGAAGTCATTACCTTGGCAGCAAATCCCACTGGTAGCATCAACTGCACTACTGGTGGCAGCTGAGTTAGGATTCAACAGGGTTAAGTTCCTAAAAGAACTCCAAGTGCCCATCTGAAGAAACTAAGCCTATTACAGAAAAAAAACACAGCTTCGACACGAAAGTTAAAATACGCAAGTGTATCACAGCCAAAGACTGCTTTATAGTGAGCGTTCCGGGAAGGTCTGTTGCAGATACCCATCGAGACAAGACAGATCCCAGTTCTCTTTCGGATCAGGAACCTCAGGAGGAGCAGGGAACACTTTGGAGTTTATCTTGGGTTATCTTTCTGTTATGCTGCTCACAGACATATTCCTGCTGCACAACTAGCCTCCAACGTATAGACTGGAGTCTCACTATTGTACATATAAATAGCGAGAGGCTGATACAAACTGCTCCCAAACTTCTTGCATGCACGGTTACGAAACAACACAATGCATTCGCGTGTGCCATGACTGGACCGGAGCTCAGCACCCTGAAGGGACCCCCACTAATTGCTCAGGGTGGTTTCCACCCTACCAGAGTCAGCTTTTCAAAGCCCAAGTTTACCTTTGGATGGTGCTTTGCAGGTCTTGGAGGACTTTCACTGAGCTCAGCTGGTCCTGCTCCCCAGAAAAGACTGAAGGACTTGAGGCTTAGGGTGCTGGCAGCGAGACCTGAAGTCCCCCCTGAAGTCCTCCAAAGCCATGTGCTCTTAGCCTCATTCCAAGACAACCAGCTGCTTATTCTCAGCAAGCGCCCCTCCCCACCCTTTCCTGTCTATTGGAACGCACATTTCTTCTTACCTGAAAATGCTTACTGTTCTTTCATTGAAAACAATTTTTTTTGCTGTTTGTATTAAACGTGCATGAAAATAAGATTATAGCAGGGTCCGGCATGGTAGCCTAGTGGCTAAAGTTCTTGCCTGGAATGTGCCATGATATCATATGGGCACAGGTTCTAACCCGGCAGCCCTGCTTCCCATCCAGCTCCCCGTTCGTGGCCTGGGAAGGTAGTCAAGGACGGCCCAAAGCTTTGGGACCCTGCACCTGCGTGGGAGACCCAAAAGACGCTCTGGGCTCATGATTTCAGATTGGCACAGCTCTGGCCGTTGTGGTCACTTGGGGAGTGAATCAACAGATGGCAGATCTTCCTCTCTGTCTCGCCTTCTCTCCGTACATCTGACCTTGCAATAATAAATAAATAAATCTTAAAGGCAAATAGCATTATAACAAATTGCTTTTTAAGGGCAGATAGGCTAATCCTCCCCCTGTGACTCTGACATCCCATATGGGCATGGATTCTAGCCTTAGCTGCTTCCCATCCTGCACCTTGCTAATAAAACAAATGAGAAAGAGGCAGAGGATGGCCAAGTGTGTGGGTCCCGGCACCCACGTGGGAGATGTGGCTCCCGGCTCCCAGCTTCGGGCTGGCCTGTCTCTGGTTGTTGTGACCATTTACGATGTAAATCAGCAGATGGAAGCTCTCTCTCCCTCTCCCTCTCTCTCTAACTCTGACTTTCAAGTAAAATAAATAAATCTTTAAAAAATGGATTTTTATACTTTGGTGCACAGAATTCGTGAAACTTATTTTTAATGATGTATTCACGTATTTGAAAGGTGGAATTAAAGAGAGGGAGAGGGCCATGAAGAGAGAGATCTTCTATCCACTGGTTTACTCTCCAAGTGGCTGCGACATCTGGAGCTGAACCAGGCTGAAGACAGGAGCTTGGAACTTCACCCAAGTCTCCCACACAGACAGCAAGAGCCCTGTGAAGTATGTGACGCTCGGCTGCTTTCCCAGGCGTGTTACCAAGGAGCTGGACCGGAAGTACAGCAGCTAGAAATTGAACTGGTGCCCCTCTAGGGGTGTATCCATCTCAGACAGCTTAACTTGCTGTGCATGGTGCAGACCCTGATGAAACTGATTTTCCTCGACTTCCGACAAGGTTATGACATTATCCATATGAACATGTCCCTTAGAGCACTGATGTGTCAGAGGCACGGTCCTTAATGCCGCGACGGGGAATGTTGTGGGAAGGGGCATGGCCCAATGGGAGCTGCCCTGAGAAGGTGTCCTTGCAGCTTGGGGTGGGAGGCCTATGATCTGGGCGGGCCAGTGGTTGTCAGAGACTGAGCTTGAATGGCGCTCTGCTGTCCCGTGTAGTGATGTTGTGTGTGGAGTCAGACGGGATAATAGGCAGTTAGGATTTCTGGTCCCTGGTGAAGTTACTTTTTGAAAATATAAAATTCATATTTCTCTCCCCCGCCCCTTTTTTTAAAAACTATCCAAGAGCACTTTTTTCTTTCTTTTTTAAAGGTTTATTTATTTATTTATCTTAAAGATTTATTTATTTTTTATTGGGAAGGCAGATATACAGAGAGGAGGAGAGACAGAGAAGAAGATCTTCTGTTTGATGGTTCACTCCCCAAGAGGCCGCAACGGCCAGAGTTGAACCAATCTGAAGCTAGGAGCCAGGAGCCTCTTCCGGGTCTCCCACATGGGTGCAGGGTCTCAAGGCTTTGGGCTGTCCTCGACTTGCGTCCCAGGCCACAGGCAGGGAGCTGGATGGGAAGTGGAGCTGCCGGGATTAGAACTGGTGCCCGTATGGGATCCTAGCGCTCCGCGCCCGATGCAAAGTATTTGTAACAATTTAATAAATAAGTGAAAGCTCCAGAAAGACCACTTCCTCTGCTTTGGAAGTACTTGTGTCTACCTTCCCCAGTCCCATCTCTTCACCCCAGCTTTTAGTGAGCACAAATGACTGCCTTGTCCACACGATGCCTATACCGGTGCCAAGTGACACGCGTTTTTCCAGGCAATGACAGCAGTCACAAGCGAGGTTACCTTTAAGTGTCCTGAATAATGCCAGATTATTGGAGGCAGTGTGGAAAATTCGATTTAGCAGCACAGAGCCTGGCCACATCACCGCCCACCCGTTGGCCGACACGCGACGCGCTGCGCAGGCGCGCCCACCGCGAACGTACGTCACGCAGCCGGGCCCGTCCGCACGCACGTGATCCCCCTCAGAGGCGGGTCCTCCGCCGTCGCCCCCGAGGAAGCTTGTCCCGGCCGCGCCGCCGTCGGACGCCAGGTGTCGGAGGTCGCGGCAGCGTTGGCGGTGGCACTTTTTTTTTTTTTTTTTTGTAACCCGGAAACCGCGGCTGTCGGATCCCGAGCGGCTCCTGTGTGGCGCCGGAGGGAGCCCGGCTCGCCTCGGGTCGTCGCACCGGCCGCTGCCCTCGGCGCGCCGGGGAGGATGGTGCCGAGCGGCCCCGGGCCCGCCGCGCGCCGCCGCCAGTGAAGCCAGCGCGGCCGCGGGCGCCTGCAGAGCAGCTGGCCCGCCGGGGCCCGGGGCGCGCCGCTGCCCGCCGGGGCGGGGTGAGCCGGGGCGGGCGGGGGTCGGCCGGCTCGGTCCTGGGCCCCTCGGGGCTGCCCGGGGTCGGGGGGCTCGGTCCTGGGCCCCTCGGGGCGGGCGGGGGGATCGGCCGGCTCCATCGGCTCCATCCTGGGCCCGTCGGGCTGTCCGGGGTCGGGGGGCTCGGTCCTGGGCCCCTCGGGGCTGCCCGGGGTCGGCTCGCCTCGGTCCTGGGCCCCTCGGGGCGGGCGGGGGGATCGGCCGGCTCCATCGGCTCCATTCTGGGCCCGTCGGGCTGTCCGGGGTCGGGGGGCTCGGTCCTGGGCCCCTCGGGGCTGCCCGGGGTCCGCCGGCTCGGTCGGCTCGGTCCTCGGCCGCTCGGGGGTCTCCGTCCTCGAACCCTCTGGGCCGGTGGGGGTCGGCCGGCTCAGTCCTCGGGAAGGACTGGCCGCGGGTGGGACCGAGGCCTAGACTGGGCAAGGCTGAGGGTTATCTGGGGTCGTTCGGCAGTTTTGAGTTTGAGTAGCTTTATCCTCTCAATCGTTAGACCTCATCAAGGAAGGTTGGGGGGGCAGAGACGTGTGCAGAGGAAAAATAAGCATGGACTAGTGGTGTTGTGTGGGAGGCAGGTTAGTGAGCATCCAGACGGGACGGATTGCTGTCTTTTATTGATGTTTTCGTAAAATGAAGAGCGATTTCAAGCGGGAGGTGCTAGTGCCCGCCGAGACGGGCGTCATGCAGATTGCGCCTAAGCCCGGGTTGTGCTCTTTGCAATTTTCTGAGCGTGCTGGTGAGGGGGCCTTGGTTGAAGAATCTGATATCAGAAGTGCGATTGGCAGCCAGCAGGTTACGGGCCTCCCCGGGTGCCCAATGGGGCCCTGCTTGGGAAAGATGGGGTCCCTCCGGCAGTCAAGAGCCTGAAAGCGGTTGTTGCCCAGTGTTGATGAAGTTGGCTTGTCCCCACTTAAGTGTCGTTGTGGTCACTGCGGGGGTCTGCTCAGGTTCTCAGGGGAGGGCTCTGGAAGGAAATGGGTGTGCACCTGCAGGCGGGATGTGGACTTTAAGGCGTGATGGAGGTGGACTGAGTGTAGGACCCTCGCCCATGTCTGGAACCTGAGGTTTTCCCCCAAGGTCCGACTTGGTGGGACTGTTAGCCGCAGCTGCCGCCGGGAGAGAACTCGGTGCATGTACCTCCCGGTGTCTGTCGGTAAGGAATTTGCTTAGAGAAAGTAATAGGCTGTAAAAATGTCGCAGGACTGGAGCGCTGCAGGGACAGTGCAACTGTTAGGGATCTTGTCGCCTGTAGGATAGAAAAGTTTCAGAAAGGAAATAGGTGACCTTGGAGGTGGCTACGAAGGAATTGGGGTGTTCAGAGCTAGCCGAAGCGGAGGAACTGGGCCCAGTTAGTGGAAGACCATCCGGGCGAGGTGTTCGATGCCTGACGGTGTTGGCTGTGTTGGCTGGGGCAGCTGGATAAGGGTCCCGTACTTTCCTAAGAAGGACGAAGCAGCTTGTGCCACCCAGGCAGGCTCGTTAGGTTTCTGGGTTCTCAGGAATCGGTTTTTGTCTGCTAGATTTGACTGGTCCTGGGAAGCGGCTGGTGGCTTGAAGCAGTGCTCAGCTCTTTTAAAGGGACAGTGGAGAAGATGCTGATTTTCGTTCCGGTCCAGGCGTGACAGTGAGAAAATCAGATTTGGGGGTCTGTGAGCTGTTTGAGTGCCCTTGTTGGTTAGCGTGGGCTCAGCAGCTCTGGCTGTGGCCTTTGGAGCGCTTTTTTTTTTTTCCCCATTGGACTTTTATGCTCTTTTCAAAATATTCCCAGGCTTTGTAATGAATTCGGATGTGATAACATTTCATATTTAGCCCTTAGCTTTCATTTAGCCCTGACATCTCTCATGATTTCCTAAATATCTCTTAGTTGAATCCCAAAACATTTAGTTTTGATGTGGGAGTACTTTTTGAATCAGCAATTTATCAAAACTAAATCCCAAAGAGGTGAAGAATTTTCGGTCTTGGTCTGTTGTAAATTTATCTGTAATTTTTCTTACTTTGACTTATTTACCTGAAAGGCTGGAGAGGGAGCACGGGCTGTGTCGATGCGTGCCCTGGCAGGGAGCTGGGCCTTGCTGAACCCAGGGCTGGGGGGCTCGCGCCCAGGCCTCTGAGGGTGCAGGTGTGTGGCCTGGACCCCAGCTACTTGAAACACCATCCCTGCCTCCCACATTCTGCATTAACAGGAAGCTGGAAGCAGGGATTGAACCCTTAACTGCTACCTCAAATACCTGCCCGTGGAAATTTATTTTTTTTCTTAAGGTTTTGTTTGTTTTATCTGAAAGAGACAGAGAAAGTTGTTTCATTGTCTGGTTCATTCTCCACATGCCTGCAACAGCCAGGGCCAGGCCAGGCTGAAGCCAGGAGTTAGGGATAGGATCTGGGTCCTTCCCATTAGTGTTAGAGTACTTGAGCCACCACCTGTTGTATCCCATGGTGTGTATTGGCAGAAAGCTGGAATTGAGAGCAGAGCCGGAACTGCAACCCAGGCACCCCGATAAGAGATACGGCTGTTCCAACCTGTGCGTTACTGTGCCAGGACCTGTTTCCCCATTCTGTGACTTGCTTTGATGAAAAAGAGAGAGGGCCATGATGGAAGTTACCAGTTTTATGTCAGGATTTCAAAAGTGGAACAATGCATTTGCTCATTGTGAGTGAGTACAAATATGGCCGAAGTTTGAATTTTAAAAAAAATCTGGTTATAGACATGTGGGTTTATCAGCGTGTGCCTTTCTGCTTTAGATGTGTACCGGTGCTGTATGATTGCATGTTTAGCAACAAAGGTTTTATGATTTCAGTTGTAATTTGTGTTAATACTTTTCTGAGGTGTGTGAGCCTCTTCTGCAGTGTGGATTGTATGAGAGCAGGAAATGAGATTCTCTTTGTAGAGGATTCTCTTGTCTTTGCTCTACTCTCTTCTTGAAATCATGCTTGGGAGCCGCCCTGCCAGTGAGAAGAAAATAAGGCAGATGCTTTAAATTTCAAAAACCATAATCTTGTCATTTTTTTTTCCCACATTTTTAGGGGGGGATTTAAAAAAAAAAATTATTTGAAAGAGCTGCATAAAGGAGACAGAGAAAGAGGAGGAGGAGAGCGAATGAGAATGAATGAATCCGAATCTTCCATTCGTTGATTCACTCGTTAGATGGCCTCAGTAGCCAGGGCTGGTCTAGGCCAAAGCCAGAAGACTGGAACTGCCTCTGTAATCCTGTGTCAAGAGGCCCAAGCACCTGAACCACTGCTTTCCCAGGTGCATTAGCTGGGAGCTGGATTGGACAGGAAATAGCCAGGACTTGAACCGGTGCCCACATGGTTTGCCAGTATCACGGTGCAGGCTTAGCCTGCTGTACCACAGTGCCAGCCCAGTCTTGTGATGTGACTGAAGTCATTGCCTGAAGCATGCTTTATATGTCCATGCCATGTGAAGTTGGTTTGCTTTCAATTTAGCATTTATGAACCCTGGCATTGTGATTGATGACCTGACGTTTGGGGTCAGAGGAGGTAGTCCATCTCTGCCATTCACGTGCAGGGTGTGTTGTGTGGTTTACTTAACCTCTTTGGCTCAGTTTCCCCTTGTGTAAAATGGGGATGGTGTCAGCTGCCCAGCAGTATTACAAGGGTGGAAACAGGACATATATAAGGCCCTTGGCATGGGATTATGGTGTATACTAAGTTGTAGTTTGTAAAGACTATCCTTTATTATCTGGAAAGGGCTTTGTTTGTATCACTCCTGCTGTCTTGAGTGCAGAATTATATGGGAGTTCTTCATTCTGTGTCTCATTTGAGGGGAGTGGCTGTTTAAACCTATAACATGTACTGGTAGCAGTGGTAGTTAATACATAGGCCCTGGAAGCTCACTGGATTTAAATCCATGTTTAGTTCCTGTGTGGTCTTGGGCAGATTAGCTGATTTTCTTTGCCTTAGTTTCCCATCTAGAAAATGCAGATGCTACAGGGATTATATTTAGTGTGCACAAAAACTCCGAGAAAGCAGGTGACAAAGTAGACATTATCGCTAAGCACCTCCTGGGTAAAAGGCTCTGAGATAGGGAGAGAGAGACAGTATCTGTGGACAGGAGGGCCCCCCCCAGCAGGAAGCAGGGTTCACTCTGGTTGAGGCAGGCCATGTCAGAGGGCTTGGAGTGAGATTATCGGGAGGAAGAAGAGCAGGAGAAATCTTCATCTGCTGACTCCTCAGATGTCCCTGCAAGAGCTGGAGTCGGGCCAGGCTGAAGCTGGGAGCCTAGAACTCTTGGATCTTTCACATGGGCGGCAGGGACTCAGGTCCTCAGGCCATCGTCTGCTGCCTCCCCAGCTGTGTGAAGCAGGGAGCTGGATCAGAAGCGTGGAGGAGCTGGGACTTGCAGTGGCACTCAACACGGCACCTCCCATACAGGATCCTAATCTGTGCCCCAACGTGTGCCCTGAGAGCTGCTTTTAAGAGCCATTTCACAGGTGGAAATGGCAGGATGTAGTGCTGGTTGGGTACGGGACAGCAAGAGTGAAAAGCAGTGTGCAGGGGTCACGAGAGGCTCATACGTTGTGACAGTTGTGGCCCTGTGGGTTTGAGGTGCCTGTGAGTTGTTAAGTAGAGCATTTCAGGATGTAGCTGTTTGGATCTGGAGAAACTCAGCTGGCCTGGAGCCGTGAGTGAGACACCTTGAGTTGTTCAAGGTGAGAAGGCAGGAGCGGCCCGGAGACGAGAGGATGAACCGGGAAACGGGTACCAGGTGCCAACTTTGTGCCAAATGCTGCCAGCCTAGACTCTGAGCTCTGGAAGGTTCCTTTGTCTGCCTTCTCACTGGTCTCAGGGTCTCAGGGTCTCTTCTGCCTGTGCTTGCTGCTTTCTGACGAAGGAGGAGGGCTGGGTCCTGCTCAGGGCTTGTGTATGGCTGACTCTCGGGGTTTCTTCTCTGCCAGCAGGTGTTCTATCTGCCAAGGCCTGGATAATCTGGATAGGTAACTGTTGGTTT